CCACCAGCCAGACCGCACAGCAAATCCGCAACCCACGCCGTCTCCTCATCCTCTCCCCAAGCTCCCACTCGCCCTCGACGATCCCATCTCTCCTGCACTCCCTAACAGAAACCCCGGTCGCCGACCCCCCGGCCTCCTTCGCAGGATACACCACCCACCCTCCCCTCCGCATTACGACCAGGTACTACACCGCCGACATCCCGATCTGGGTCGACGAGATCCCGCTCCCTGCCGCGGCGCAGGATGAACCCGCACGCGCGCAGACGCAGGCGGCCAGCGAGACAGAGGATGGGAGAAGCGCGCCCTCGCCCGCGCAATGGGCGGCCGAGTTCTCGGGCGCGGATGCGCGGGTTGTCCGGGATGCGATCGGGGCGCTGGTTATCTGTCTTAGGAATCTGGTGGGTGCGAGTGCGAGTGCAGGGACACCTGGGTCTCGGGACGAGGTGAACAGCCTCAGGGAGTTTCTTTCTGCGGTTGGACGGGTGAAGGGTGTGATTGAGGAGGAGCGCGGGGAGGTCGGCGATGTCCCCGTCGTGCTGGTGTTGGTAGGGGCGGGACAGGGTCGAGGGGGAGGCGAAGACGGCTCTCGCGCTGGTGACTTGGATGGGTCCGACGCGGGCGAGGAGCCGTTTTCTGTTGGGTGGTGGGAGGACCAGCTGTTTGAGATGGGGATGGTAGGGGTGGAGGTCCTCGAGTGGGATCCGAAGGGGCAGGAGGGGGAGCAGCGGAATGTCTACGGGGGTGGGTTTTTCTTTCATTTTTCTCTGTGAATTGTTGTTGGTGGTGAGTGTGGACTGATTGCTTTTGCAGAATACCAAGGCATGCGCCGCATTAGGGAGATCCTTGAAACGCATGACTGGGCCGCGCCGTCTGACGATGCGGGTCCCGATGGGTTTGGCGACGACGGCCTGGAAGAGCATCTTCTAGGACTGGATCATGGGGAGAACGGGTTCGATCTTGAAGTCAACGAGCTGGAACGCGAGATGCTAGGGTTGCGGATGGCGATTGAGCATGGGGGTGATGGGATAGATGATGAGGATGAGGATGACGAGGACGGACTCAAGGTCGAGTCTTTGGAGGCTTTGATGATGCGGATGCAAGCTATCAGAGGTATGTCTTTTGTCGGGGAGAGAAGTTCGAAAGCTAATAGAACAGACATGAGTTCGGAGTTACCGGAGAGTGAGCGCAAGAAATTCGCTGCCAGAGCTGTACGAGATATCATGGAAGAGTTATAGATCTATAATTCACAATTATCATGACATTTTTGGGAATTCTAAACTATAGAGAAATAGATATAGCCAACGGTCGTTGGCCTTCCATATTTGATCGACAATGGTAGATGTACATCATGACAACTTCGTCACACCCCCAGGGTAATCCTACAGCAACCTCAAAAAATCCGACACTTACTCAGCTCTTCCCTTCTTCTGGAGGACCCTGCGCCTCTGTGCAATCATGTGCGTGTAGAGAATGTATGAGCCTAAAAAGTGGTTTAGCGGCCGCGTGCGTTGTTCTCAAGAAAACCCAACGTACCAGGAACATAGATGACAAGCACCACCACCAAGAACCACCAGTACAGAGGGTTCCATTCAGCCGCGGGCTTGAGTGCCTTCCAAACCATGATGCACTCGCTGCTGATACCGATCGGATAGAGCACATAGAAGGTATTGTACCTATCATCGTCAGCAAGCACATACATCCATACACGCACCAGAGATTCACATACCTCAACCAAGTCCACCAGCTCGGCACTCCACTGCCCCAGACCTGCAACGCAAAGAACCCATACCGGATACACTCGGTGATGCCCCACGCCCCCAGACAGCCCAGGAACGCATAATCGCCTACCTTGGCGCCAGGCCCATACGGCAATGTCTCGTGGAAGTCTCCGCCGACGATGCCGCCGTGCCCGTCCCCGCGGTCGTGGAAGAGATACATCACGCCCCAGACCAGGAGCAGCCGGCTGGCGACCTGCATGGTGGTTGTAGCGACGGGGGCGCGCACGATGCCCAGCAGACTGTGCAGGATCTCCAGCCCAGCGAGCGACTGGGTCGTTGTGAGCAGCGGGGAGTAGATGTGGTGGAAGATGGCGGGGAGGTGGCCGTTGGGCGCCAGGGAGAGGACGAGCACTGCGCCGCGGATGACGCAGGCGGCCCAGAGACAGAAGCTGATGGCATTGTAGGCGAGGAGGTAGAGGCGAGTCAGGCCTGAGGTCGAGGCCCGGGGAGCCGTTGAGGCTATTGTGGTGGACATTGTCGCGTACTCCTTTTTGGGCGTCAGTAGATGTACTGTTCGCTTGGGCCGCAGGGGATTTGGAATTGGGGGATTTGAAAAGGAAGCCTATTTTCAACAGGGTTAAACTCACAGTTTCTGATAAAAATAACTTGTCAGTGGACTGGTAGACGTTTAACACTGGAGCTTATGAAGGTGGTTGTTTTCGTTGATTTGGGGATGTTTGGTGATTATGTAATAATTTTAATCAGATTGACCTCGGATGTAAACTCAGGACTCAACTCCAATATATGACATTCATTATCAATCTATCTTCTTGATACAATGCAAGGAGGATCCGTCAATTTTCTGAAGCAGTATGCATGTCATGTTGCTCCTGAACATGGCAGCAGATACGAGATCAACCTTAGACAGAGGCATGAATTGTTTTTCAAAAGTCATCGGTTCAGAAGCGGCATAACAGCAGGATATATACTCATGTTCAAGCCTAGATATCTTCCTGTAAAGTCAACATCTACTTCGTTATCATCTGTTGCGCCATATCAGAAACCAGCAGAGTATGGAGATAAGAAAAGAAGAAGAGTTTTTGACTTTTGTCATCAGACATGGAAGGTTTCCAGCCATGCGGGTCTGATGTCATATAAACAAAGTATGTACGTACAGTTATGTTACGTTGAAGGCGATCTGTGTCTGCTTCTCGGATCAGATCCGTTGATGACTTGTCTCTATCAATCTGTGTTATCCAGAGCCCTAAGCATGCCTTAGATGGTATTTGATTCAGTTGGTGGGGAGATGTTGAGAAATATTAATATTAATAATATAGATGCTAGTCGTAGTTCTGAGCCTTGTAGCCTGAGGCAGTGCCCCTCTTCATAGTAAGCCGAGAGGGCCCGCGCTTCAGCTCCAGCAAGACTTGGCAATGCCCCCCTAACGTCATAGGCAAGCCAAAAATCCTCGGATTGGCTGTTTGTCTTTTTCGAGAATTGGGTTAGACCCACTGTGATGTCATTTATGCGCCTCACTCGGACATGATTGGCTGGAAGTGGCAGCCAGGGCCCAAGTGACCAACAACTGTCGAGTTGATCACCCTCGAAAAGTCGAAAATGGCTGCCCCCCACGATGGAAAAGGGAAGTTATCAGTTTCCTGGCCCCCTCGACTCGGAGGAGATATAAAGCCACATATTTCCTCACGACTGGGGCTGGCGAAGGAGGAGCGAGAGAGAGAGATGCGAGGTTGCTGGAGAACCCGATCAAGAGCTCCTTCTGTACCTCTTCATCCAGTCTAGGGTCGATGCGAGGCACCCCAAGGCTGTGGAATGGCACTGACACTGTCGCTTGGGTATTCCACTTCGAGGGGTTGTCCCATTCCTGTTTTAGTCTGTCAAACCCCGCTGGCTGCTCTGGCAAGAACATAAGGTACCGACCTTAGGTAGGGTGAGCACCAAGAAAATGCAGGACGAATTGGCGCATTCCCGTCGTTCCTTGGGCTTTTCTTCCTCTGTATGTTTGCTTGTCTGGTACTCTGGGACGGTTCCTGAGGGGCCCAGAACAGCCCACGGACTAAGATGGTGTCGGTTGTGATGTCAGTCTGCCGAGAAGGGCGGATTTTTGCAAGGGGTCACTCATCACTAGACCAACGGATCTACAAAGTAGCATCCTGAGTGTCTGAGATAATAAGACAAGACAGCCTTGCGAGGTTCGGGAACAAGAGGACTTGGGAGTTGGGGACGGGACTGGGAGGAATTCGGCGATGATGTCGCAGTGGATCGACCGTCCCCCTGCCAGTGAACCTAACAGATCCTCAGCGCCAATAAGAGGCTGACTGGCTGACACCCTACGTCAGTCTGTAGTGCGATGATTTCAACGTGCATCTCCAGCGAAAAGTGGGGATGGGATACTACGCAGTACTACTCTCAGTCTCAGTAATAATGGGCGCAATCGGGAAGAGATGAATGGATATTAGATCTGTGGGATTCTGTTCTTCGAGGCCACCCAGAGATAATAATGGTTCTAGAAAACCCGAACATTTATTTACCCTTTGAGTTTCAACTTTCGGTGGGAATTGCACACTCCCGAGGTCATAAAATGACGCCAGATGAAGCTAACTAGATTCTCAAGGCTTCATCTTCAGATATCGAGGAATAACTAGACTCTCTATCCTTTGTCTCTTCGCGACCGTCCCCATTTATTAGCCTTTTCGAATTATCCTCCCGGCATTAGGTACGTATTATAATTATTACATTATTACTATCAAGAACTCAAGATAGCTTCACCTGTAATTCCTCCACCCGAATGTAACTGCTCGAGTTCATTCACACCTCAGAAGTCCTCTCCTTGTTCTACTTTTCGGATAGTCCACTGGTTGGTTTTCTGAAGTCGTCTCTATCCATATCTCTCCTGGCTGCACCTGTCAATCGATCAAATCCACGCTGATCCCAAGGGTTAGTTAGTCTTGTCCCCGCCGCTCACCAAAAAAGTCCGCCCACATTTTTTGCCCCTCCACACAACTAACTCTCTTGTAGTCTCCTCTTGTCCTTGACCTCTTTACGCGTGCCAAACAGAAGGGCTAAAGGGGAGAAAAGAGAGAGAAAGAAAGAAATAAAAAAAGGAAAAAGAAAAAAAAAAAACAACAATTATCAGAATATTAGTTGAAGGTAAAAGAAAAACTGTCACGCTTTCCCTTTCTCCAATCAAACAATCAGCCACCATTCCACCTTGCGCTGTTGGTGCTTTTCCTTTTTCTTGCGCTCTGATTCCTCACTTTATCCTTATTTGGCTCTTTTTCCTTTGCGCGTTGTCGACTCTCTAATCTGCAATCCTTTTCGGCCTTCTGCGACGGTGACTGACTCCTCAGAAGGTGGTTTGGTAGCAAATCATATACTCTAGACTGCAAACAGATCTCTTTGACCCTCACCGTCATCAGCATCATCGGCATCATCTAATAGCAATACAAGGTGGGATGCCCCCAGTACCCTACCCTACCCTACCATACCCCTCCTCCTCCTCCTCTTTCTCCTGTCATCTTGTGCTCGTCTCCCTGTCCTATCATCAATCAGACAGCTGTACTTCGTTTCTTTCCCTTCCCTTCCTTTCTTCCTTCGTTAGCTACAATCATCATCTGTTCCTCCCAACCCATGTGGACCCCTTCCCCTTTAGGCCCCGTCTGTTGGCTGTGTGATTTGATTTCGGCCCATCCCTCGTCTCCTCCTGCTGCTCCTCCCAAAATGCCTGTTAATCTAATTACTTCCGCCCCATACATCCTATCCTCCCTTTTGTTCGGTCTCCCCAGCCTCTTCTGTCCGCATTAATACCGGATGTCCCTCCTGTCACTTCCCTAACGAACCCCCCCGATCCATCCCTGAACCACCGCTTGTCGTGCCAGCCACTCAAGCTCTTTTTGTCTCTCAAGCCCTGTGCTCGATTGGTTCCAACTTGGCTACATCCCCGCTACATCCTGTGGCCTCGACAATCAACAGGAAGAATCCGTACCCCGAGGTGATTTTGCCTGCTCCCTTACACCTCGTCCATCAGCCCCCATCATGTTGAGCCTCCTGACCACCCTACCCTGTTGATTGTATATCTCTTCCCTCCCCGGCTGTCTGGACTGTCATAGCCCTTCGGCCCAGTAACCCTCTCACTGCGTAGGGCGAATACCCGTGGCGGTCGAGTCACAAGCGCTGAGCGCCTGTCGCTTGATATTGCCGTAATCTCGCCCTAAAAACTCGAGGAGCATTAAACAACGGACTTGGCGCTTGAACTAACAGGTTTGCACAGGGTAGATCGAATCAGCTTCCAAGATCGTGATCAATTCCAGCAAGCTTTGAAGAGCCACATCCGACTACGAAGAGGACAAAGATACAGCGAGCTGTCAACTTCAACGAGTCTTCTCTCAATCCGATCTCTCACCCATCTGCGGGAGAACAGTGCTAAGCATCACATACTCACAACCATGGCTCCCACAACTACCACCAAGACCGTTGAGGATCCTGTAAGTTGCTGTCCCTGATCAGCGTAACTGCTGTTGAGTGGTCACTGACATCTCGACAGCCCAAGGAGAGCCCTCCTCCCAAGAAGCTTCCAGAGATGAGCGAAGTCCTGGACAAGAGCACTTTTGAGCAGATCTTGGAAATGGACGACGATGACGACAGGGATTTCAGCAAGGGCATCGTGTATGGATTCTTCGATCAGGCCGAAACCACGTTCGAGAAGATGGAGAAGGCTTTGTAAGTGCTCGTCGCTCCATATTGGCCCTCCAGGCGGACTGACATTCAACATCACAGAGAGGACAAGAAGCTAGCAGAGCTCTCTTCACTTGGACATTTCCTGAAAGGATCGTCAGCGACTCTGGGTTTAAACAAGGTCAAAGATCACTGCGAGAAGATCCAGCATTACGGTGCTGGTAAAGATGAGACCGGCACTGCCGACGAACCCGATGAGGAGACCTCGCTAAAGCACATCAAGGAAACTCTGGTTGAAGTCAAAAAGGACTATAAAGAAGTAGAGCAGGTTCTCCGCAACTTTTACGGCGAGAAGAAGTCCCCCGAGGTCTCCTCGCCCTCCTCCAAATAGTGTCTGACGAAGGGGAAGAGCTTGCACATACAGAGCAGAGGTGGAACGAGCATGGAGAAGGATGTGCTTCTGAATATACCACGGCGACGGGTTGAGGTCCTACTCACATACACACAATCACTCTTCATTTCAGTCCACATACCCACGAACAGTCCCAGTCTGCAAAGAGGAATGGAGAACAAAAGCGACAGATACTTTTCAACACCACCATCAGTATCAAAACCATTGGATTACTTCAAATGATATCCAGTGCCTACTAAACTCATGGTTTTGTATGACCATCATTCAATAGCATGCAAGAGTAGATTTCTTTTCAATTGTATCGGACATTGCTTTCTCTTTGCCAAAAGTCTTTTGAACTAGGAAGCTAGGTCCATGGTAGGAGGCAGCATGCAACATTCTAACTTCTGTTTGCCAGACAAGAAAGAGGACAATCCCTAACCAACAGAATAGCAGCATGAAAACTCAGAAATCATGAGTAATGTACAACCTCTCATCCTGCGTGCGGCCACCAGACAGTCACAAGCAGCGGTCCAACACAGTCCTGCCCCGTCCCACATTCAGGTAGCCTCACCTGTCACCTCTTCCTTTTTTGAATCTTGAGTATGCAAAGGCCCAGCGCAGACTTGCACGACATTCAGCCCCTGCATCAAGCAAACCATTCCAGCTTCGAGAGGTTTCCCCCTAACAGGGCAGAAGAAGATTGGACGCCCTGTCTTCTCTTGGCTTTTATTCTTCGGTAGTTGGAAACAATACAACTGCCAATACAAACACACACCCGCATCCACACTCGGATAGATGTGTATACGTACACCCACCACCCGACTTGAGAACAACAATGCCGGAGAGCGCATATTTACACCTATACTTATACTTTCACACCATCTCATCCTCAGTCTACCCACCTCAGTACCTAGCACTGGCTGTCGCCCATCAGTGCAGAATAAGAATATCAGGTAAAGTAAGGACCTTGAGAGCCCGCGTACCTTAGTTTAGGGGCGATGGTTACACAGCAGGCGGATGGCGGTGGGACAGGCCATTCTGCACATTTGCGAATCAAACCCCTCTGAAAAGGGTTTCTGACGTTATTGGATAGTATCTATGCTTGGGGATATTTTGTAGTTGAGTGCTCACCTCTTTGATGGGGGGAAAGCGCAGGCCAGGGGAAGGAATGGGCAGGCTGTTTTAAGGTACGGTATACCGGCATATATGCAGCGAAGCAAACCGACCCGGGTCGTGTGTGCTGTGCTGTGCTCCGATCAAACGGTCCTGGCCTGAGTCTGAGTCTTGACTTGATTTGATGTCTAGTGTTGAGTGTGTTTGGATACCATTTCTTTGGTTTTTGGTATTCGTCACCCGAATCTATTCAGAGCATAATTATGTGATATCAGCTAGAGAGGTACTGCTGTAGCAGAACCAGAGGAATCGTAGCCAGCACCGCACCCACTAGGTCCACTCCACTGTCCATGTCCACTGTCCATGTCCACTGTCCACAGAAAAACGGATACCTACAGCCCTGCAACCGTCGACACCTCAATCGCTCCCTCATCGACAATCGCCAACGGCCTTGCAGCTGCATGCACCAAATCAAACCCATTTCCGTGTCCTCGTTGCCAATCACACCCCGTCCGAGCTCGCGGCCGATTGTCGTAGGCGACAGGACAGTACTGTCGACTTCGAGGCTGGGGGTGATGGGATGGCAGACAGGCGCTGTGCGACGTTCCTTTTTTTAAACTACGATGGGTGCCCCAGGGGTGAAAGGACGCTTGCCTCGTTTTTCTTTTTCTTTTTTTTTTTTTTCGCTCCTCCCTGGATATAAGTCCGTGTCTGCTTGTTTTGCTTCACGTCTTCCGAGGTGGTTATCTATACCTGCTACCTGCTACTGCACTGTATGAGCTGGACGGGATGCTGGCCGTTGGACCCCGTGTGTCAAAGGAGGAGTTTATGCAGGCGCTGGGGCTGAGCTCGCATGATCCCCAGCATGAGCAGTACTATCGAGCGATGAGGGTACGTCTGCTGGTATTTCCAGTGCCCCCGTCTATCTATGTGCATGTCTGAGTATATACAGGATGAAGCCATCGTCGTGTACAACCGTATGAACCAAGATACCTCGGATCTGCTGGACAGCGTCAGAAACGACCCCAACACCCGACCGCCCTTCTTCTGGCATCATATCCGTCCGGAGAGACAGCGATGGGGCATCCTGGAGATCTCGCGGAATGCCGGGCCCCTGACGCGGCCGCTGTTCGAGCGCGGAAACACCACGGGCGAGTACGGTCCCAACTGGGTGGCTGGCTGGTTGCTGTACAGTGTGTTTCGGTCCAGAGATGTTCGCAATAACCGTAATCGGCGGAAGGGTGATGATCATGGTAGGTTGTCATTTGAACAGTTATCGATCGATGCAATGCTGACAGCGTCCAGGCCAGGATTCGAAACGGGATAAGCAGACGACACAATCGGACAGTGGACTGACAAAGAAGACGTATTATGATCCGGTGCGGAATGGATGATGCGGTGGGTTTTGACGTTTAACGAGGCAACGGTGCTGGCTTGAGCTTTCCAACTTCCTTCTTTTTGTATAGACAAAACCTCCCATCGCTGGTCATTTTCCAACCAGTCAATCAATCATCGTCTCTTTCGTCCTTCTGCCGCTCTTCTTGCTTAGATCCATTCTTGAGCCTTCTCTCCTTCTTCAAGGCCTCGGTAACGCGGTCGTCCTGCTCGTCCTGTCGTTCGTCCCAATCAACGTCGTACTCGGACGCGATGTTTTTGATCTCCCTGCGTATCCCATTGGCTTCATCAATGAGCGACTCCCACACCTGAAGATCAATCCCTTTCATCTGGTAGAGTTTCTTTTGCCGCGCATTGATCGTAAAATCAAGCGCTGAACGATAGGAAATCTCGCGGTTGTGATACAGGAACCAAAGGTAGCCGCCCATCAAAGTGGACAAACTGACCAGATAGGTCACCGGCTCCATCGTATCCCATCCCAGGTCCGTCTCAAAGGTCAGTTTGTACACAATGTACCACCAAAAGGCGAGAATGCCAAACCCCCCAAGGGCCACCCGCTGAGCCCCCCGGTGCGCCAGGGCGTCACACTCATGCTTGATCTCTGCAAGGCCCTGGATCCTTTGAGAGATCTTCCGCAGCCTCATCCGCAGGAAATACGTCCTCTCGTCGAAAGAAGGTACGGCAACGTGGATCTGTTCCAACCCCGCCGGTGCACCTTCAATCGTCACGATGAACTCCTTCGCCCGCGCAGCATCCCGGATGAAGTCTCCAATCTCGGTCGACTGCGACCACCGGATAAAGCGCTGCTCCTTGTCGCCCTGTCCAGGCCCTGGTCGTCGCAGATAGCTGAACGTTTCGTCCACCTCCTGGAAGATCCCCACTCGGTTTGCCACTGTCTCGTCATCCTTTCCTCCTTCGACTCTGTGGATTTCAGCATCGGTACCTTCGTACATACCCCGTTTCGGCCTGATGGCGTCTTGTTCAAGCTGGAGCGCGATGAACGATATAGCAGGTGGTCTCTTCTGACCATTCTCGTCTTCTATTGGTGGTACCTCGGACTGGATGAGACGTTCTAGATGGGATAAGGGCTGCTGCGGGTGGATCAGTATGGCGATCTGCTCAATGTCTTGAAATTGTCAGCCACAGTCAGAACCTCCCGACTACGGATGACATACCTTTGCGATTGATGGTCGTCAATGGAATGAGAAGCTTAAACAACCTCGACGGCGTCGTCAACAACTTGCCTGCAATCGTCAATAATGCTTATATTGCCTAACACTAGCAGATCGTCTCACCCTTTGTCATCTCCTTCACAACTTTCCCCCCGGACTTCGTATCTCGACCCGACTCGTCCTTCTCAGGTTCATGCCGCTGCCGCACCTTTCTGACCTCAAGCCTCTCCAGTGGATCTGCTGTGGTCCTTTTAGGCTCCCGCTCATCTCTGTTTTTGGCGCTTGATTGGAAACTTCGTTTGCCTATCTGTGTCACGCGACTCGGTATGAACACTCCTGTGTATCGAATTCGGACTGATCTCGACGGCAAGGGCTGAGGTAATTTGTCAAGGATATTCAACCTATTATATTGAATTGTAGCAGACTGACTTCCCAGCGTCGCGGACCGCAATGCAGCCGCAATGGGTGTGCGACTAACAAGCGCCCGCATCTTGATCAGGTAGTGTCTCAGCTGTGTACCATGTGAAAGTACTCTGTAGCTTTACCGAAGGAATCAACGAGGTCTATACAATTATGGGAAGAAAAGAGTGACCATTGTTGGGAAGAAGTGTCTATCTCAGGTTTGCACCTGATGTTTTGTTGGAGAGATCAATTGCTGATAAACAGGTCATTCTGGAGCTGAGGCGCAACAGCTGGCACGGTGCCTTGGAACATCGAGGGACATACGTCATGATGGCTGAGCAGGTAAGCAAACAGTGCAAACATAGCAAACAAGCCACATGGCTTCTGGATTTATGCCTTAGGTCTACCACCGTTTTTGAAAGGATTCTTATTGCCAGATTAAACAGGAGTCATCATTAACAAATTGGAGTATTGCTTCGATTGAACGAGAATAGAAGAGAGACATCCACCTTCAAGCAGTGCTGGCCACCACATGCAGAAAAAGGAAGAACAACGCTCAACTCGAATTCCAGTAACTCAGTCAGTCAGCCAACCGAATCATCGTCATCTATAAAGGAAAAACTACATATCATCATTGCATGAAAGCCACTCTGCAAAGTCCACTTCAATCTATTGGGAGAATTCAAGTCATGTCATCAATCGTAACGTCGTAAGGTTGTTTCTCTTTTCCCTTTCTCTGTCCGAGTTCGCTGATCTTCCAAACCCTCACTGTTAACCTTCGTCGGTTAAATCGCGCGGCACTACAGTGCCCGGCTGCTAAACTCAAGTGTCCTGGTTAGGCCCAGAGACCGTCGGTCTCGACTGAGCCGGCTCCCCTCATGGCTTTCTGGGCTGCTCCCACCGCTCCTGCTCTCTCCGCTCGTCGAGGTATCAGCATCGTCGACGTAGCGGCTCTTCCGGCCCGTACCAATGGCCACCGGGATCCCCTGTACGATGCCCCCGTGGTCATGGCCCGCCGGATACATGCCGTCGTTGACGGAGAAGTTCCGACAAATCAGATACGCCCGCATGGCTGCATTCTCACGGGCAAGGGTCTCGGATTCGCACACGGAATCTGTTTGGTATTCGCGGTTGTTGACGCGCACAATGCAGGAGTATCCGCCTGTACCTGCGTAGGATTCGTACAGAGGTTCTGGCCAGCGGCGGCGTCGACAAAGACCTGTTTCTCATGGTTATTGGCCACTCGACACTGAAGATCAAGGCTAATGTGTAGAGGACGGAAAGAAACCCGTCGTGGTAGTCTGGGTCCACGACAAATCAGAGTAAAAGACAGATAACGCGATACGTGTGGTTCTCTGGTGAACCCACAGGGGCTTGCAAGGTCCTTGAAGGAAAAGAAACGAGGCCAGATTCAAACAGTGCCCAGCCCAATCAAGGACAGAGCTTTCATGTATACAGCAACAGGCAGGGCGCCGACAAGGGCAGATGGGGTGACATACTCGCGAGATAGAGAATATAGTACATCGCGTATACAGGTAAGCGGCCAATAAAATGTATGGGGCGGAGGGGTATCGGTCTAGTATTCGCTGCCCTGGCTATGTTGACACTGCGCAGCAATCCTAGCAATCACTCCAGAGGCATTCAACAAGCCTCTTGGGAGGGCGTTTGTTGCTGCCCAACGTCCACGTTGTTCACACAAATGATGCGATTTGCTAGCAGGGAAGGATCAAAAGTCCTCTGCAGCGAGTCAATCGGGGTCGAGGATGCTTAGTATAGATCAATGGGGACAAAGAGGACCACCAGATGTGAGTACATTGGAACTAGCGGCCGTAGGAAGACAGCAACATGGTATAGACGGCTTCAATGATGATAATGAACGATCGAAAAAGAAAAGAAGGACGACGGCCATCGGGCTAGGTATAATCGGCTCAAATAAACAGGTGGGGCTCCAGAAGCAGACGTCAAGTCCTAAGTCGAAAGACAGAAGGGGTCATAGGTTTCCAAGCGAATTAACAAATTTTAGAAGGAATGCTCTTTGTTCCACCATATTGGCTGGCCTAGCAAGGCCGAATGTCGGTTTAATGAAGATTGCACTAAGCATCTTTCCTGGATGTGTTCTCCTTTGTTTTCTCTCGATTCCGGGTCGCGAGCCATATTGGACCGTTGATGCGTTGGCATGGCTTTCGACCAGTGATTAAGCTTGGGAATATGGAGCTTCCTGGTCAATCCGCCACGGTGTTATTCGCCGCCGATCCATGCGGCAAAGATTGGCATGTTGCGCAGCATAACAATCTCCGAGCAAATCGTGGTCTCAGTTTGCCATTGCTGTTGCAGAATGAACGCCCAGCCATCTGGGCGGAGGCCATGTTTAACCGGATTTTTCTGGCGCCTTTTTCGCTTCGCCGGTGATGCACAGTCGTGCGAAAGAGATCCCATGAAACCCCGCAGCATAAGAAGAATGCAGGACATTACTATTGTCCTTATGTTCAAGACATTGGATCGCATCAGCGCGTTTAATGAAAGGCGCCGTAGAAAACCACTAATGCGCTCTCGTTCGTAACGAGATGCATGCCACGCAGGACGGCAGGAATCCCAATCCTAGCTCGAACCTAGAAGAAATGAGAGATAAAACGATTATATAACGGTTACTACAGTGTATTAGAAGCGGATAGAAGGTTTTTGTCCGCGGAGCACTAGACAGCAGGAGACTTGCAAACGCCGTAAAGAGGCATGAAGCTGCGAAACAACTCGGGTCCCACGCCTCAACGGGGAGAGAAAGTCATGACCCTAAGCGATTCGGCTAGTGTTCCGGGCAGGACTCCCCCTTCCAATATCGACCGATTTCTCGGGATAATGCTTTCATTGTCCTTGGACTCATAGACGTCTCAAACTCGATCGGAACTCAGGAGGCGAGGAACGGAGGGGCACACGAGCTCCAACCCCAGGGTGAAAGTCAAGAGCACAACGGGATGAGAGGGGCCTGTCTGATAGTGGTGGTCGTCATAATCTGCCAGGTGGAATTAGGCAAACGAAATAGGTTAGTCCTGAATTTTTGACGGACGACATTGGCCCAACGTCTGTGTGGTGACAGGCAGGCATCGGATGCAATGATGAGTTGGCAAGTTTCTCACTAGGTGCGGTGGGGAATCCATGCCACTTTTTGCTTGCACGAGCAATCGCTCCTGATGGCGAAGAGTAACAGATAGAGCAGACAACGTTGATGATGTTTGCAGATGGTGTTGCATAGCATTCCACAGAAGTATATCATCATAATTCGGGAGGAATTTCTGATAGTACTGAATCGAGTAGATACAATCAGCATGGATACTGACTACCCCTGTTGTGGACGCAATGCAGGATGACTGTCAATGAAGCCAAACTTACTTTCACTGTCGGTGCATGGCGCAAGTCTGCCTTCTTCTTCTCCCATACAGGCACTCGGATGAGTTTCTCACTTACTCTGGATGGGAGCCAATGTGCCTCTTGGATTCGAGTAACGAATAGAGTATGAGCAATCTGACATGTCCGTAAATTCTTCACCCCCAGACGCCGAGAATGGGAGCTAGGCCAGGGGCAGAATGGCTCATGCAGTCGCATTTCGTCGGGATGCTGCCAATGATGAAAAGACAATAATCTAGACAATTCGAGGGATGGAAAGGAGAAGAAGGCGGCTAAGCAAGCGGCAAGTCGCGAGGAGGATAATAGGCCTCGCTGCCTCAGTCACTACAATCCGCGTGAAGAAACTAGTAAGTGATGGAAGAATGTCACCTCAATTCCCATATCAGCGATGCTATCGATGCGTCTGAACCTCCTGGGAATGTCTAAACTCTAACTGATCACTGAAATCATCAAGTCCCCTGCCTCATGACTGTCGGGGTAGTGACTGTGCAGACCGCGACTGCACTCCGCAATCCTTAGCTTTGTAGCCTTCTATCCCTTGCTTCTAAATCACCAGCTTCACTTCAGTGGTCACTGGTCAGCCACTCCTTGATGACGCTGAGCACACGTTGGAATAGATAATGTGCGACCCATGTGACATAGGAGCATAGCCCGTGAGATTGCTCTTAGTGTAACTTGAATTTGAAGGAGTTACATGTACATCCAGAGTGTACATGTACAGTGCGCACACTGCTATCATCTTCATTCCTTCGCTTTCTCCAACCTTTCCAACCCCTACCCATTCTCCTTACTTTTTCTCGGACTGGTCTACAGATCCAAAGATTGATTTTCGAACCAGACACGTATGCCTTCGGCTGACTTGTGGGGAATGACAAAAATGGGATGGAAAGGAACGAGTCGGTCATTCTCAGCGAATACGCCAATGTCCGATCCTTGATCATCCAAGGCGAGGTTAGGGTCGTGCTTCCAAGAGAATGCTGAGGAGAAGTCATCCTTCGAGCTCGCACTCGAGTCAGTACAGTAATGGTGATATTGAACTGTGCTTAGCCCGGCGAGAGCATAACATGTATGGTATGAATCCGGGTGTCTGTAGACAGTCAGCGTATTCACGTTTACTGCGAATGCAGGGGCCATGAATTGACATACTTTCCCGGTTTGTCTCGAAGGCCGCCATGCTTGCACTGGCAACACGAAAGGATATATCTTGTCAATCCCTCTCGACTGTAAAGATTGCCGACGGAAGCTCGATTAGGGCCTGCCACTGGCTGGGTGCCATCGAGCGCAGACTGGATGAGGGGCCAGCAATTCCCAACCCAATGGCTGTAACACCCGTCCACCAATTTATTGGTTCTGCCGGAGAAACCTCCCTCGGGTGCATATTGTCGAGCCGAGAGCCAGGGAAGGAGGGTTGCAACATTCATATATCTAATACACTTAGTAAAGGTAAAAGAATTGATCTGTCGATGCGGATCCTTACCTTGGCACAACTACTTCAGGCCGACCAAGGAGACAAAGACAGGCCAAAGCACAAAAGGCATAAGCGCCATGCGCCTCGGTGCCCGGACTCCCGGAGATGCCACCCTCATAGGTCTGACCTGCAATTTCACTGTCAATCACAACCAGGAAGCTCAGCAAAGAACGCCACTTACATCGCGAAAGATATTCAGGAAGGCCGTCCGTGAATGTCTCCAAACCATATTGCCGAGCTTCGGCTTCCGGGGGCAAAGCTAGTGGCAAATCGAGGAGGGCATGGACTACCATTGCGCAGTAGGCGCCTCTGAGCTGGCAACTCAGTAAAATGCTACATATGCAGAGAGAGACTGATAGGGGAAATGTTACCGCACGTCCTCTTCTCCACCCTCACAGACAGTAAAGCCGCCATCAGGCTGCTTCAACTTTCCGAGCCATTTCCACCTAACCAAGGTTAGCGATTGCTTGCTGGCAAGAGCAGGTACCTCATCACAACTCACATTGCCTTTCGATCAATCAATTTGAATGTCTCTTCACCACCGACCATCGCGATAGACAGCACCGCAGCATAGCTCGATGCAATATGCGACATCTGGCCATGCCCTCCTCCAATCCCACCAGTGGGATTCTGCGCAGCTGTGAATGTGGAGATGACGCTGGCAATGAAGATTTTAGTCGGGATTCAAGTTGGGAAGGGAGCACGACTAGGGACAAGCTTACCGTTCGCGAAATCGAGTCACGTCTTCTCCTAGAAGGCATAGACCTGCCAAGGCCCAGTAAACCATCCAAGGACGACTAGCATCCAGCCCGACAAAGGAGGCCGGATAGTCGTCCAGTGAGTCGTAAAGATACTCAATGTGGTCATTGCGTTGAAGAGCGGGGACCCCATACTGGTTGAATGGACCTTTTTGACTGTTGTGGATTCCCTTCAGCAATGGCAGACATTTGTTGACTATTTCGCTCTGAAGGTCAGTGGTCTCCGTGGAGAGAGAATCGTGGATCAGAGGCGGCTCCCTGAAGAGCGCCGGGATTCCGGGATGGACTTGGCTTTCCCCCATCTTGCCGCTCTGGGTGGACGATGAATGGTCGTGGGGACTGGTGGCCGCTGAGGAGCGACTATTGACCTGCAGGTTGACGCTGAAGTTTCGACCTTTTGGTTTTCCTGCCGTCACGGATGGTCCTTGACTGGTCGAAGAGAAAAGGACTTTGCGACGATGTTTCCCGGTCGCTGCGATAACAGGCATGAACTGTCTAGGATAGTAATCGAGCTTCTGATCATACACTCACTCATTTATACCCGGAAATAGAGCAATTTACTTTGCGATGTTGCTATATACTAATCATTGTTCTTTTCCTCGTCAATGGAGACCGCATTGCCATCGCCAGTCCATTGTTCTTCAGTCG